TTATGCCTGTTGAGCATCCCAAGGTTATGTGACCGTCGTTGTTTGCGACTTCACAGCCGGTTTCCGGCAGATAAAGGAAGCTGGATTTACTTAATGACTGCCTGATTCACTTAAAAACGGCAGTGATTCACTTAAGAACTGTGGCTCAAAGGCAGATAGAGGAAGCTGGATTTACTTAATGACTGCCTGATTCACTTAACAACGACAGATTCCCTTAAGAACTGTGGCTCAAAGGCAGCCTTGTCATCTGCCTTGCTTAGTACCTGAAATTCTGGTCACAACTGGAGTTGATAAGCGCAGGGCTAATTTTACCAAAAAAGTGGGACCCTTCACTTTTAGTTTTGAAAGCAATTTGCATTTAACTGTATTAATGAATGTAGAAATACAATGCTTTATATTGCACTTTGCATTTCTGTATTTTATTATTCCATTATTGGAAATCACTTGGCAACTTTAAGTTGTGTAAACCTCAACTCCCAGCATGCTGTGTGGGGAATTCTGGGAGGGGAAGTCCCACCCCCTCATCTTAAAAAGTGCCAAGTTTAAAAAAAAACATTGTTCTAATCATCATTCAATCAGAGTACTCTGCAATAAGCCAAGATGGTCCAATTGTCAGGCAGAAAAATAACTTTCCCTAATAAGCATTATTTTAAGCGGAGATACAAAGATGAATCGGGAATTTTCGCCCACTATTAATCCATGTTCTACATTTTACACAATACATCTAAACCGTAAACTAACCAAAAAAAGCTGGATTCACACAGCGGATTAACCCTCCAAGAAACTCACCCCAGTTTACGCCTAACCAGCTGGAGAGATTGCTAGATCTTCCACTGTTGAGCATGGGAGAACAGCCTTGTGTGCAAAGAAGGGTGTGCAAATGAATTTTTTTTTTAAAAAAAATCATGCTTGTTTCAACTGGCTGATTCTAGTTTGAACTTGGCTTTGTGACCGAAACGAAGCCCCTTCTGAATCACGCTGGCTCTTGCACAAACTGGCTGGTTGGGAGCGGGTGAGTGTGTGTGTGTGCGTACGAATGTATGTGTAAGGGTTGGACCCCGATTGTGTGTGAGTTTGCTTGGCCAGTGGTTCGGAGCGGCTTGGATGTGCTTGGATGTGCGAGAGGCCCCAGAGATGGGGCTGAGATGTGAAGTCAACTTTTCCAGCAGCGAAAGAGAAGAGAATAGACAGGGAAGGGTGGAGAGACAGACAGAGAGAAAGAGAGAAAAAGAAAGAGAGAGGGAGAGGGAGAGAGAGGAAGAGAGAGATAAAGAAAGAAAGAAACATACAGACAGAAAGAGAAAGAAAGATAGGGGTGTAGAAAGAGAGAGACACACACAGAAAGAGAGAAAAGGAAAGAAATAAAGATAGAAAGAAAAGAGAGAGGGGTAGAAAGAGAGAGGGACAGAGAAAGAGAGAGAAAGAGTGAGACAGATAAAGAGACACCCAAACAGAGAAAAAGAAAATGTGAAATAAAGATAGAAAGAAAAGAGAGAGGGGTAGAAAGAGAGAGGGACAGAGAGAGAGAGAAAGAGAGTGAGACAGATAAAGAGACACACAAACAGAGAGAAAAAGAAAAGGAGAAATAAAGATAGAAAGAAAAGAGAGAGGGGTAGAAAGAGAGAGGGTCAGAGAAAGAGAGAAACAGAGAGAGTGAGACAGATAAAGAGACACACAAACAGAGAGAAAAAGAAAGGAAGAAAGAAAGAAAGAAAGAAAGAAAGAAAGAAAGAAANATTCCATTCCATTCTATTCTATTGCAAAGGTGGTTGCAAAGCAGTTCAGGCCACCTTGTGTGTTTCAGTGTCAACCAAGCCATGAATCAGAACTTGGACGCGCTGCAACCCTTCCCTCGCTCCAAAACGGAGGCGCGACTGCAGGTGTCAACTGGTGTCATCTGGATAAGATTTGCGTGTGGGCTGCCGTCAAATTTTCCACTGCTTCCCCCCCCCCCCCCCCCGAAATAGCCAGCACAACAAACCCTTTGGAGGAGACGGGAAACAAGCAGCGGCTTCAAACCACCTTAAGACTGTTTGGGTCCCTTCGTGTGAGGGGTTGAGTGCCAGCAGTGGCCTGGCCACGTCCCAGCAGAGCTTCTGGCCACGTTTTTTCGGAAGCGGTTTCCCCTCCCTGGCTTCTTTCCTAGACCCGGGAGTGAGTCAACGTTGGCTTAGCGTCGCCCAGCTGGTCTGATACCAGCGGGAGGACTAGAACTCGCCACCTTCCATTTTCTAACCCTGGGCCTTTGACGGCAACCAAACACCTTTTCGTAGTTTGTCCAACGCACCTCGACTTACAACCCATTCGTTTAATGACCGTTCAACGTTCCAACGGCAGTGACGTAAAACTAGTCCTCACCCTTGCCACTGTCACAGAGTTACCGGTCCTCCTCCTCCTCTTTTAACCAACCCATCATCCTTTGCGGGATGGAGTCCGGGCAACTGAATGCAGCTGAATGTTTACTGGCCGGATGCCTTTCTTGTTGCCAGTGTGTAGTTTTGTTCAGCAGATACTGTATATTCTCAGTGTGCGCAGAGAGAGAAATAACCGCCTCTACCTAGGATCGAACTCACAGCCTCCGGACTGACTGGCGAGATCTCCACCTCTAGGCCACCGCACCACTCACAGTCGCTAGTCACACGATCAAAATTTGGCAAGGGACTCGTATTTATGACGGTTGCAGCGTTCCCGGGGTCACCTTTTGCGACCTTCTAATGAACAAAATCAATGGAGAAGCACGATTCACTTAACAACCGTATTACTAATTTAACAACCGCACCTGATCCACTTAACAACTGCGGCAAGAAAGGTCGTAAAATGGGGCAAAAATCACTTAACCGCTATCTAGCAATAATCAGCAACAGGCATTTGGGATTCAGTGGCGGCCATAAATTGAGGACCTCACTGTGCTTCCTAGATATTTTTTGTCTGGCAAAATTTCAACGCTGGCTGCCAATTTAATCAGAAGTTTATTAGCATATATTATGTCTTCCTCTCCACCGATTCTTACTTCTGCCTTATTTTCATCAAGTATGAAATGTATAATTATTAATGCATGATTAATGGCCCTTACAGCCATCACAATCATGTGATCAAAATTTGGGTGGTTGGCAACTGGCAGGTCCTTATGCCTGTTGAGCATCCCAAGGTTATGTGACCGTCGTTGTTTGCGACTTCACAGCCGGTTTCCGGCAGATAAAGGAAGCTGGATT